AGCTGCTGCTGCTGTTGCTGCAGCTACAACAGCTGTTCTTTTTGCTGCTGCTGCTGCAGCTATCTCTCCCTGCTTCTGCTGCGACCTCTGCTGCTGCACCTGCTCCTGCTACTCCTGCTGCTGTTCTTCTTCCTGCTGCTGCTGCTGCTGCTGCTGCTTCATCCTGCGCTCTGCTCGCTGCAGCTTGTATAAGAGAGGAGACTGCAGCTGCTGCAGCCTGTGTATGTCTGGGGTCCCCACATGCACTCTGCCAATTGTGTCTCCGAATTCATTTGTTGTTTTATTTTTATTTTTCTTCTTCTGCTGCTGTTGCTGCTGCTGCTGCTGTTGCTGCTGCTGCTGCTGCTGCTGCTGCTGCTGCTTCTGCTGCTCCGCCCGAGCCTTCTCCATAGACTTCACCGCCGAACGCCACATCTCAGCAGACGCCAAACGCACACGATCAGGCCTGCAGCAGCAGCAGCAGCAGCAGCAGCAACAGCAGCAGCAGCAACAGGAGTAGATGTACATGCAGCAGATACAGCAGCAGCAGCAGCAGATGCAAATGCAGCAGATGCAGCAGCAGCAGATGCAGCAGCAAGTACAACGATAACAGCAGCAGCACAAACTACAGCTGCAGCGGCAACAGCTGCAGCAGCAACTGCAACAAGCAACATAACGGAGCAGCAGCAACAAAAGAAGCAGCAGCAGCAGCAGCAGCAGCAACAGTAGCAGCAACAGCAACAACAGTAGCAGCAACAGCAGGACGAACAGCAGCAACACAACCACAACCATCACCACCACCAACACCAAACCACCACCACCACCACCACCACCACCACCACCACCACCAGCAACAGCAGCAGCAGCAGCACCAGCACCAGCAGCAGCAGCAGCAGCAGCAGCAGCAGCAGCAGCAGCAGCAGCAGCAGGTGTACTTGAGTTCAATCTGGGGTCCTATTTCTTCTAGCTTTACAGCTGGCGGTGCTCCTGGTGCTGCTCCTTCTGCTTTATTAAATATTATTCTGTAGTGACGAATAGATATTATAATTCCTGCTGCTGCTGCTGCTGCTGTTTCTGCTGCTGCTGCTGCTGCTGCTGCTGCTGGGGGTGCATCCGAGGCATCGTCGTCTGCTAGATCTTCATCTGCTGCTGCTGCTGCTGTTGCTGTTGCTGCTGCTGCTGCTGCTGCTGCTGCTGCTGTTCCTCCTTGTATGGCGCTGATAGCAATGAGTCTATCTATGCCTGCTAGATAGAGCTTCTGCAGCGGGAGTTTAGCAGCAGCAGCAGCAGAAGCAGCAGCAGCAGCAGCAGCAGCAGCAGCAGGAGCAGGAGGAGCAGCAGCAGATTTGAATACATCAGCAAATAGATTTCTTGCTGCTTGCATTTCTGCTGTTGCTTCCCATAGTCCCCCCTGCAGCAGCAGCAGAGGTGCTGATGTTGCTGCTGGTGCTGCAGCAGCAGCAGCAGCAGCAGCAGCAAAAGCAGCAGCAGGAATATAGTGAGAAACTACATACTCATGCATATCTAATAGTTGATGGTTATATACTCTCCCCAGCAGCAACCTAGCTGGCCTCTTCTTGCTGCTGCTGCAGTATACAAACGCCCCACATTGATTTTTTTTACATAAATATTCTATTTCTTCTGCGTTTATAAACGGATACAGTTGCTGCTGTTTTCTGTTATTTAAATATATACAAAAAGGTTTTTTTATATCTCTTATATCCCCCAATAAATTTCTTAGTTTGCTGCTGCAGCGGCTACCACGCAGCAGCAGCAGCTGCTTCACACCTGCATAAGATTCACACTCTCTTGCTGCTAGTATTCTTCTTCCTTTGTGTGTCTTTGCTTTTCTTTGAGTGTTTATACTGCTGCTGTACTTGCTGCTGCTGCTGCTGCTGCTGCTGCTGCTGCTGCTGCTGCTGTTGCTGTTGCTGCTCTTGAGAGAGGCAGCAGCAGACTTACGCTGCTGCTTCTGCTGCTGCTTCTTTTTTCCCATTGCTGCTATAAATAAAATAAAACAAAAAAATATATTTTAATATATATAAAGGGGTTTTAATATTTATATAAAAGAGAGAAAGAAGCAGCCACAGCAACAAAAAAAAAAAAAAAAAAAAAAAAA